AATAAAGATTTTTAGGTACGATAATTACGTTTTATGATATATGTACCTAAAAATAACTTCCCCAAGTCTTCTTGACGGCTTAAAACTTTAAAGTTTTACTAAGTAAAGTTAAATAACAAAAAGTTCATTAAATATCTATATCATCTCCAGATGAGATAGAACGATAAAACATTAATTACTGTATAGGAGTTCATCTGCTTTTGGCTTCTTACTACACAAAAACTAAAAGATAAATTTGGGTCTCTTAATAAACATGTTTTGTGCTTTATTAATAGATTGTACTATTAAAAATGTTTCTAAAAATTATAAAATATATTCATAAATTTGCCAATCTAATGAATACGGACATAACATACAGTTCATAATTGATTACTTCTTAATTTTTGCTGGAAATTAACGTTTCTAAGGGTTAAATATTCTAATTATTATATGTAGTTAAAGCTACTAAAATTAAAAAGGGAAAAGTCTCTGTCTACAAAGAAAATAACATGTATGTTTTTCATAAAGGTATAAAGGCTGGAAATACATTTTGTTAAAAAACGATAGTAATTTTGTCTTGAAATAAAACTCAGGGGACAGGGGGCCACACAGTGACCCTCCAGCCCAGCCAGTGATTCCATGTTGAACTCAATTAAAGAAAGACATCGCCATGGAGGGAGGTTTCCAGGGCTATGTCCTGGGTCCCAACTGTTCAGACAAAATCCACAACTGGGGACCTGTACGCCTGAAAATGGTTAAGATGGTAAATTTTATGTTACATATATTTTATGGCAATAAAAAAATAGGAAAAAGTTCACAGCTGGGGAGGAGAGCGAGTGTGCCCTGCGACAGATGCTGGATCCCTGGGATGTCCCCAGGCGAGAGGAAAAGGTGAGATTTCAGGGGAAAGTCTGCATTTCTGCATGAATGGGCTAGAAGAGGGTGGGGCACTCTGGCTTGACCCCAGTTGTAGTGAAAAATACCCAGAGATCATAAGTGACCCTGCGCTCAGCATAAGAAGGAGTGTGCTGTGTTTGCCCACAAAAACAGAAGCTGCCCCGGGATACATTAACAGAGGCTGGGCATAGAGAAGGGGAGGTGATCTTCCAGCTTGGCTCTTGCTATTAGAGCCCACCTAAGCATTGCACCCAGTTCTGGGGGTTACACTCACCACCTGGAGAGTGCCCAGAGGAAGGACCAGGATGGGGAGAGGCCTGGACACCTCACAGAGAATAACAGTGGAAAGCTCTGGAGGCAGGCTGCTCAGAGGTGCGGAGTCCCATCACCCACAGGCTGGAGGCCTTGGGTCAGTGACTCAACCTGGCTGGGCCTCAGTCTTCTCATCTTAAATGGGGACTGCAGTACTTCCTGCCAGGCAGGGTGTTTGTGAGACTAAATGAAATGATTCACGAAAAGGTTTTAGCTCAGTGCCTGGGACACAGCAGCACATACTGAGCCCTCAGTCACCTGGGAAGGAGAAGGGGGACACGGCTGGTGACTCAGGGCTGGTGGAGGAACAGGGACCCGCTGGGAGGCTCCCAGGCAGCCTTACCTCTGGCCATCTGCCCTGAACTTGTTCTGGTGTCACAAGGAAATTGGCCACCAAGAAGAACACGTTCTCTCCCTGGAAGGCAAGGGTCAGGGTGGGCCCCTGCTTGGCTCCCTCAGTGGGAGAGGCCAGAAGCTGGCAGCCGGGTCTGTGAGGGAAGGGGTCCTGGCCCATCCAGTCATCAACCCTGTGCCCCAGGAAAACGCCCCCAGTGAGGCAAGTTGAGGCAGAGGCGGGAGGCTGGCTGGGTTTCTGGCCATTTCTGAGCCCCTGTCCGTCTCTTGGGGGCAGGTGTTTTTTCTCATATTCACTCTCATTCGCTCAATCAGAATTTTCCAAGAGCCTCCTGCTTCTAGGCACTGAAGATCGAGAGCCAAATTGAGCTGGGCGCCCACCCAGGCTTGTGGGGAGTGGACTCCTCATTGCACACATGGCCAGGGACGAGGGGAGCAGGTGGTAAGCTCTGCCAGGGACAAAGGCAGGGGACTGTGGGGAAGGGTGGCTGGCACCTCTCTGCTGCCCGTGAAAGCTCTGCACATTTCAGGGGAGGCACACCCAGGAAGGGGAGGGGAGGGCTGGGCAGAGGGCAGCGGTGTGGCAGAGGTCAGGATCTGCAGGGACCTGGTGGCCACCACCATGCGGCGGGAGCCTTCCCAGCGTGGAAAGCAAGGGCTGGCAGGCTCTGATGGTGTCACCTGTGAGGGCTCAGCCTGGCTGCTGCGTGGAGCGCACCTGGGGGCCCACAAGCAGACCACAGGCACAGCGGGGGCAGCACGGAAACCCGTCAGGAGAAGGAATGGACAGGAGGGGGGCAGGGAGGTGGGGAGCAGGGTCCAGCTTTGGTCCTGGTAGATGGCATGGCCCTCAGTGGATGGAAAGAGGCTGCACTGGGAGAGGGAGGGGGTTTCTCCTTGGACGTGGTGGGTGCGCATCAGGAGGCAGCTGTGCTCGGGGCAGGTGGTCACCGGGGCTACAACTGGGGCATCAACAGAACAGAGGTGGAAACTTAGGCTGAGAGGATCTGGGTGGATGGAGAAGGGCCCAGAAATGCAGTGTGGGATGGACAGAGGAGCCAGACCGCAGGGCCCAGGTCAGGGAGGAGAGCACTCAGGAGCTCCAGGCCCTGGGCCCCCTGCCCCTCCACCCCTCCCTCTAGATCAAGCCTTGAGTTCCCAGACCCCCCACTCTTCTGGATACAGCCCTTGTAAATGCAGTACCTCTGGCCTGGCTTCCTGTCCCCTTGTCCACCTGGAAATCTCTTACACATCCCCGAGAACCCTGCCCAGGGCCACTCCTCTGTCAGGCCCTTCCTGAGGCCAGCCCTGTGATAGCGCCAGCACCCCCTCTGGCATCACAGGCCCCTCTTGCACACACTTGTTGCAAGGGTGGGGTAAGAGGTGTCAGTGCCTGGTAACAGCAACAAGGCACCCACCTGGGGCGGCTTCACAAAGTCAGCCACATCCCACAGCCAGTTCCCCAGCTCCTTGATCTGGGTCATGGAAGCCCCTTTGAGTTTGGGGATGACAGATACCTGGGGGTCCAGGTCCTGCTCCTGGTGTGGCAATGACAGCCCACCTGGGGAGGAGGCGACGGGCAGTGTGGTGTGTCCCCGGCACTGGGTGAGCAGTGGCAGAGCTGGGCCCCACCCACTCAGCCCCTA